TGAAATAAAACAACAAAGTTTGCAATTATTTAATAGAAAATACACCACAAATTTAAAATATTAAAATAAATATTATAAAGGAGAGTACTAGAGAGGAGACTGACGTTATTTTACTAATTCTACAGGTTGTCTGCTGTTACCTTGACTGAGTGGTTGTGGAAATCTGTCACAATGATTTCATTGTTGTTGTTGACAGCAGCAAAATGAGGACCTGGACAAGGAGAACACACTCTTTAAATTCCTAATTCTGAATCAAGTAACACAAAAACTCATGACGTGACAGTTGTTTGTGAATCAAAATGAGATTATTCATTATAATATTTAGGAGCTAAGGCTAATCCCAGATGACATCAGGATAAAACCAAAGGTCAGGTCAGCAGGTCATATCAACACCAATACAGACAAACAAGTATAGTTAAGGCTAAGGATAGGAAACTTCTTCAAAGTTGTCTGTTGTTATATTTTGTGTACTAAGAGGACTTTTATATGGTAGTGGTCACTGCTATGGCCGGATGCAAGTCTTCGTCCCACGTATAGGGGTCAGGGCTGTTCACGTTGACTGTACCTGCAAACTGCCTGTCTCCATTGCCACGGTTACCAAACTTGGTGACCAGTTTGCCGTTGAGCTGAAAGATGAAGACGCAGCAGGCCTTGTTGTCCACCACGATGATGTGACCGTTTCTGTCCACAGACACACCTTTGGGGCCCATCAGCTTCCCTGAGCCAATCTTGTTCTGAAGAAAAACATTTAAAATTATTTTCTGTACAGCTAGCTCACCCAGCATTTTATTATAGAGTGCCTGAAAATAAAGGATTTCCCTTCAATAATTGGTTAGTCATAGAATAATTGACTTTAATTTGAATTTCAACCGCTCTGCTCAGAAGTTTTAAATATTCCTTTGTCAATTTGTCTCCCTTCACATCCAAACAGCGCTGTTGCTAATAGTTGATGGTCCCTGAATTACTGACCCATTTTCTAAACATATCCTTGAACAGTGGTAAAAAAAAGTGACTTAATTAGATTTGTTACAGAGAAACTGGGGGAAACATCCATTCAGTTAATGAGCCACAGAATGTTAACTGAAGGGGGAAACAGCATATCTGACTGTGGGGGAGAAAATAGATCGAGTTACATCACAAGATGCAAGAATTTTTTTATTTTCAAAATAAAGTCTTGCTTTAAAGTATATATATTTTTCTGGCCACATGTGATTCGTTTTAATTGATAAAACCACACGCCTAAATGAAATAAAACACCCAATGAGAATCACATATCTTCACCCACCTTGAATTTGCCCTCACTTGAGAAGATGCTGACCCATTTGTTGTCATAATCAGCGATGATGATGTCACTGTTCGGGTGGACAGCCACTCCTGTCGGCCGTTGCATTTGACCCGGGGTTCTGCCCCTGATACCAAAACGACACTTGAACAAACCATCGTTGGAGAAAATCTGAAATAGGACATAAGACGTACGATTAATCTCAGTTTACAAGTCAGTTTCTGATTTGAAGGTTGAACACGGACAGTATACACACCGCCAAAAACACTTACCTGGACACACTGGTTGTTGCTGTCAGCGATCAGCACCTTTCCCTGACAGGAGGCAGCCACTCCCTGCAGATTTGTGAACTCCCCCTTGTTCCTTCCTTTAGTTCCTGGAAACCATGAACAAAAGCTGCCACGTTATATTAAATGTATCATCTAGATCAGTGGTTTTGAAACTTTTTTGTACAGAACCTGCCCTGCAGCTGCAACTTGTAACTTGTAATACTACTGTATCATTCAAAAGTAATCCAGCACAGGTGTCTCAGATGATTTGAGTCTCATACCAACTCTGAAGATGAGGTCGTCCTCGATGGGGTTCTCTTTCCTCCTGCCTGTGCTGAACATACTGGCCGGCCTCTTGATGGCCTTCTGCTTGACGTGCCCGCTGCTGGGCGACTTTAGTCTCTTCTTCGTGCCATCGGAGGTTGGTGACACATCTACGGACTTGATGGCCTTTATCTTGAAGGGGCTTCCTTTGATATGCTGGTCGTACAAACGCAGCGACAGGTTATAAGTCCCCTCTTTGGTGGCTGTGAACACCAAGTCATAGGTGCCATTCTTGTTGTCCAGAATCTCCCCTTCACACCTGCTGCCATCAGGTGAGGAGATGTCAGCGGTTACAAGAGCGCTACCCATCTTACACAGGTCTCCATCTTTATCCTTTGTGGTTATGGTGATGGAGGTGGGCACGCCCACCACGCAGTGCCGTAAAGCCTCACCGCTGGCCACCGACTCAGACGCTACGGCGTTG